AAATTGTTAAATGTAACTGCAAGCAGCCACGTTGGGCTCCATGCTGGTTAATATATTTCCTATGGGCGATCTCGTAATATCCGTTTTAATTGCCAATTTAAATTATTATTTTCGGCATTTCGGTTTGCAATACATTAAATGAGAGTGATACGCTCAACATTTAAAAAAATAATCCTACGTCAAAGGATGACTGGGCCTCTCTTCTTTGTGCTATCGTAGTCAATTGTCTCATTGATTCCATCGCGGGCTGAAAGCTTGCATTCTGTTTGCTCTAAACTGGCCACATGCTAACTGAACATGCTAATTTGTCCGTCCAGTACGAATTGTTGGTCTAATAACATTTTCCATGTAGCATCTCTTCCTCTGAATTAATCACACTCAGCACTTTCTGCGCCATCCTAATAAAACAGTCACTCGAAACTATGTCTTCTGGATGTATTGTTCAAATAACACCTTCACCATGGTCACTTCTATCATTTAGTAGTGATGACCCATATTGTCTTTCTTTGATTGGGCCCATGTTTTCCCCATATTGATTGGGCATAGTTTATTGTCACTGGTTATAGTTGTCTACCTTCTGTTATGGCCAGGTTAGGTCAAGACGGTGGACGTTTATATAAACATCAATAATAATGCACACAACTTTAAAAATAAAAATATCGCTTATTCTTCAGCATCACTTTCAATTTGAAATATTCCAATAGCAGGCTCAGACAGACAAAATATTTCCTATTTATAACAAAGCTTAGACTGAATCAAATGCCCTCGAATTACAATCTTTCAAAATATAGCTAACTGTAGATAAGTAAACTGTAGATAATCTTTGATAACAGTGACTATTTTCAGAATAATCTTCAGGTACCAACACTATTCCCTTGACTACTTGTACTAACACTGTGTCATAAAAAACCTTGGGCTATTGGTTAACACACCATGACCCGTTTCTCTATGTAGATATCTATTTGTGAATTTCTCTACTCACGAACTCATTTCAATATGGCTTGCTTCACATTATTTGATAGTTAATGTATGGCAGTAACAGTAGGTAATGGTCTGTTTGAGGTCGAGCCTCTAGTAAATGTCTAAGGCAGGTAATACGAATATTTAGCTTGTTGCTATTCGTCTCATATACCAGTAACTTTTGACGTTATTTCTTCAGCATTTACATTCTACTGAATGAGCTTAGGTGTTTTGTGAATGAATGAATTACATTATGTAGTTCACAATGACACATACATGACCCGGGTGTGATATATACATGACAACATACAACCCACGATTGGGCTACCGGGAAAAAAACTACAAGCTCACTAGATTTCGTGGTATAATTTTGTCTCAGTTAAATAAGAGTTAATTAAGTTATTTAGTGATAGCGCAAAATTAAAATCGTATCCTTTATACATGTCAGACGCGGGAGCAGTTTTATCAGGTGATCCACATATGACAACATTCGATGGACGTCGAAACAGTTTTCAAGGTGCATGCTGGTATACATTTTTCAAAGACTGCACCACACGCCCTGATTTTGAAGTCACAATTAAGTTTGAAAAAAGAGATGATATTGAACTATTCAAAACAAGAACAGTATCTTTCAAAGTTACTGTCAGAGACCAGTATGCTATTGTTAATGGCATGGATGTAGTCAAAGTAAGTATGTTGATTAATATTGTATAGCTAACACATATATACATTTGACTATCTACTATATTGACTACAGTCACATGTAGTACTGTTCACAATATCTAACATTTTAGCCTATATTGATACATAGGGAAGTACAGGTGATGGACATGTGGATTCAACTGCTATACAGATTCAGGAAAAAGATAGCGTGATTACACTGACATTCACAGCCAAGGATACAACATACACTCTGACATGGACAATGCGAAAACATATTTTAGAAGCGTCATTCTCTGGTACTGATTACAACGGCAAACTCTGTGGTCTGATGGGATATGCTGATGGTAACAAGCATAATGACTTCAAGACGCCTGATGGCACTAGTACTAATGATTCTATTCATTTTGGAGAAAGCTGGAAAGTAAACGAAGAAGTGTAAGTCTGTTTTTTCTGTATTAAGTAGAGATTGTTTTGGCAAGCCTAGTATGGTTCATAATAAAACAAACAATTTGAATACAACCTAAATTGATGACCTAACACACTCTTTCCAGAAAATTGATATTATATGTTATTGTACTGAAGCCAAATTATAAAGTCTCTGTTGGTTACTAGGTAGTGTCAGGAAAATAAATTTAATGAGAAGGCACTCAGAGAGTGCAAATCTGCAATGTACTTAATTTTAAATAATTCTACCATATTGTTATATATTGTCCAAATCTAGTTCCTCTCCTCAAAACTAATCGATTGGTTCTTCTGTCATGCGAAAACATGTATTCATAAAAGTTCGTCAATAATTGCTGTTTTGCAACCAGATGCAAATCTCTCTTACAATCTAATTGACTGCTTGTTTCCCATGTCAAGTTTAGAAAATGCCTACAATTTTTGAGTCTTTGATACAATTTCTTTTATAACCCACTTCAAGCACTTTTCGTGTGATAATTCATAAGTTAAACTTTTTAAAATTAAATACGTTATTTTCTTTGACCTCACAGGTGCAACTAAGAGTGAGGGGCTGAGCAGACCTACTGATTACATGTTATCAATTTGAAGTCGTATGGGAATTTGGTCGTCTAAGATTTATCATCTTAATTACTATTTTGGTGTTATAAGTTTTAGAATGATTTTGTCATTATGTTGTGATTTGGAGATTCTAGGGTTCTGGTTTAAAATTATTCAAGACAGGTACTGTTGAGTTATATGGAATCAGAAATATGACTTTCATGTTCAGCATAGGAACGGTAAAATCAATAAAGGGTTTGAAATTGGGAAAAACTAGAATAGAAAATGCTTGCACTTGCCTGAATATACACATGTGTGTTGAGAGTGAAGATTTGCGTTTTAGGGCTTATACAAGCCAGACATGTATGTATGTTTGCACATTCCTGAATCAACAATTGCACAACGAGGGAGTTCTACTGCAATCGGTTTGGCTTGCACATGCCTCAGTATATCAATGTGTGTGCGAGTGAAGATTTACTCTTTTATGCACGCACATGCTTGACCCAATGCATGGAGTAAAACCTTACACCATGTGCAGTATTGCCTCTAGGATTAGTAGCACATTGGCAAACCATACCGGATGCAATGTAAATTTAGTACCCCCTAGAGCATACATATTGAAAAAACACCCCTATTGCAGACTTATTTCGAGAACATCCTACCCCATATTGCGTTCTCTGCCGTTTTTTTTTTGCACTCAAGTGGAGTGTGATCAACTCGGACAAACTACTTGTGGTTGCTAAGTATGAAACTTCTGGTGGTATCATTCGTTGTTTTATGAGTCCGCCAACTCGGGCCTTGGGCGATATATGGGAGTGGTTGCTGCAAGAGGGGGCCTTCGGCTGGCGCAGCAACCCTGTGAGTTTATTCCTGGGGCTTATTGCAGACATTAGCATTTTAAAGGGATTAGATCATGATAGATAACAAATCATTATTTTTGTGATTTTTTCTTTTCGGACAAGGCAATGTGTATAACAACACAACGAAACAACTGTAATTCTTCTACAAGTAACAGTCAGGCCAAACGCCATAATTGTAGTATTAGAATAGCTAGCTGGAATATCCATGGCGTGGGAAATAAATGTTCTGACATAGACATAGACATTTGTGTGAGGATATTATTAATTACAGTAAAACTGGAGATTGCAATGCCCGTACTGGTGAAATGCCAGATTTTATTGTTAATGACAATAGTAACAATATACCTGTACCTAATCATTATATAGATGATAATTTTAAGTTTAGAAAAAACAGGGATAAAAAGAATAAATTCTTTTGGCAAATCTTTGTTAGAATTGTGTCAAAATAACAATCTTGTCATTCTTAATGGCCGTATAGCTGGGGACCTATTGAACAGATTTACCTGCTACAATTTCGCTATGGGTTGAAGTATGGTTGACTATGCAATAGTTCAAAGACGCTAGACGACAGCATCAAATATTGTAAGGTACATGAGATTACACATATTTATGGGACTTGGGATCAATTACAATATATCAAAATGCCCTAGAAAGCTCAGATATTATTGACAGGATAGTGTCATTTAATTGTAAAGATAAAGACATTGATACTGCAGTTACAGAATTAACTGACATTATGTGTTCCGCAGCTGACAAATCAGTGAAATATAAGCAAGACTTTAGGGATAAAATTGTTTCACATGAAGCAAATCCAAATAAATGTTGGCAGAAATTCAAAATATTCTCAAAAATAGAAAGTGCCAAAAATGAAGATGTAATTAAACCAGACACATAGGTGAATCACTTTAAAGACCTGAATAGTATGCAAAATAATAAAAAAATTGATACCCGGTTACAAAAATAATTATAAATTAAACTAGAGATATGGAAAATAATTTAGAAAGTAATGATGGTTTAAACAAACCTATAACCATAAATGAGCTGAAATGGCTGTTAAAAAGTTAAAACTTAGCAAGTTTGTGGGTGAAGACAAAATAGTCAATGAATTTATAAAGTACGGTCGAAACTATTTATTAAAGCCAATTACTGTTGTATTTCATAAAGTCCTAAATTCTGGCAAATTTTCGTCTGGAAGGGTAGCATCATTGCAAGAAATGACTAACATCTGATCCCGGCAATTATAGTGGAGTAGCGTTATCGAGCTGATTAGGCTGCTGCACTTTTAAATAACAGGCTAGTAGACTACTTGGAAACTAAACAAATTTACTTTTCAATTTGTCTTAGGAGATTGATAGATATGTATACTCAGAAAAAAAGAAAATATATGCCTGTTTTGTGGATTACAAAAAGGCTTTCGACAGTATGTGGCGTGATGGTCTATACTGGAATCTGCAACAATATGGTATAACTGGTAGTTTCTATAATACAATTAAAAGTATGTATTGCGGGGTGGTTTACAATGTAAAAACAGGCAAAGGATTGACAAGTAAATTTGTGTCGTTTACTGGGGTGTACCAGGGTTGCAATATTATCCCAACATTATTTAGTCTGTACATGAACAATCTGCCTGAAAAGATAATGTCTGCCAATGGTAACCCACCTGAAATAAAGAATAACGAATAAGAATAAATTAAGTTGTATTATGTTTGCAGATGATGTTTTGATTCTATCGCAGTCATAGGAAGGTATACAAAACAGCTTAGACGCTTTGGCAAAATATAGTGATGCGTGGAAATTAACTGTAAATTTAAGCAAAACAAAATTAATTGCTTTTAATAAGAGAAACCAAATTGTCAAACATAAATCTGTTTTTATAAAGGCAATGAAATTGATGCGGTTGGAAGCTACAATTACTTGGGAATAGTTTTTACATCAAATGGAAAGTTTAAATTGGCTTGTAAAACTCTAAAAGAAAAAGCAATGAAGGCAATGTTCTTACTAAAACAAACACTCAATTCTGTCTCAAACCTCAAAATAAGCACAGCTCTAAACCTATTTGATAAATTGATAGCACCCATCATTAGCTATGGGTGTGAAGTATGGGGAGAGGAAGTCATTAAAAATAGAGATATTATTGAAAATATTAACTATTCTTTCTGCAGATTACTCTTGGGGTTAAAAAAAATGCTACAAGCTTGCAATCTTAGGGGAATTGGGAGATACCCTCTTGCCATAAAAAATAATACACAAATAATTAAATTCTGGCTCAAATCAAAACTCCCAGAAACGCCCAAGTTAATAAAAAGCACCTTTGAAGAAATCAATGCAATGGGTGAACAAAAAATGTCGACAAAATAATCAGTGAAAACAATCTTGATAATGCAATAAAACAACAAATAAAAAAGAAGAAACCAATCTAAACCACGACTATATCTGCTTTGCTGAAAGGGAATTATATGATAAAAATCTCTATTTGATGACAACAGCGCAAATGGTGGAACGAACAAATTGGCAAAATATAGAACATTCAAAACACAATTTAAAATGGAAAAAAGATTTAATAACAATGAGTAATAATAAACTGGGACAAGCCTTATGCCAGATCAGAATCTCTGATCACGAACTTCATATTGAAATTAGCAGGCATTGCAAAACTCCAAGGAATGAAAGAGCCTGTAAATACTGTGATAAAAAGCAAATTGAAGATGAGGTACATTTCCTTATGGACTGCAGTCTGTACAATACACACAGAATTGAATTATTGTACTGTAAGGACATTATACTAAAGTAAGTTAGTAAGTTAAATAAACTAGAAAAATTCAATGCAATTATGAAATATTGTTCAGGAATAAGAACTGAACAATACATACACAAATGAGATGTGAGCAGCTCCACCAAAATTATTTAAATATTATTTGCCTCCTGAGCGGGCTCGCTTTAGAAGGCGAAAAACACTCATTTCCCGCTAAATTTGGAACGCACACACATGGGGTAGTAACGGCATATAGAGTGACTCCGGGAGATCTATACCAGCTAGCTTAATATGCATTGAGTGTGAAGATAGTCAGGCTTACACAAACCAGAATTTATGTATTCAAGTTCAGGATGATGCTCTACTCCACCAAGCTTGCATATATCTGAATCTACGGATGAATATAGAAGGTGAAGCT